GTCTGGTATATATAAGATGGTCACAACGACACGGGACAGTGTGTAGGTAGTGAGCAATTGACAACAGTGTAATGAGTAATTGAACGTATGCAGACAAAATATTGTTGGCCACGTGAGACGTGAATTATGGTGTTTGTTATAGAGCGACTGTTGAAATTAAGTGTATCGTAAAGTTATATTCAGAAAGAATAAACCAGTTTTATTTAAGAAAGGATTTGTGTCGCTAAAGTTTCGCCGGAACGAATTTACGGAAAATTAATTAACCAACGAACAGTTTTAAGTGAAGTTTATATTACGCGAATTTTCAGGGGAAAAAAGGAGGTTAAAAATGTAAACAATGTTAATGAAAATGGAAAGCTAACGTTACTGTAATGCAGTTAATTTTGTAAACAAGAAAAACGGATAGCAATATTCTGTATGGCTATGACGATTTTCTGGTAAACAATCCCATTATATTAAGTTCTTGAATACACCTTTCTGTCATATTAAGAGCTTTTTCAATATTCCAATAAGTTGTGTATTCTTTAGGTATATCATACCATGGTATTTGGTACTTTTTGAATACACAATTCTATTATACAAAGAAGTTTTCCATGACACTATTCCATAGTGGGCACTTTCTCAATACAACCTTTTATAACAATGAATATCCCTTCTTTATACCATTTCATCATATTTATAGTCTCTTTAACACACCATTCTGTGATATAGAGTCTTCTACAGTACATCATTTTATCATAATGAGTATCCTTTCAATACACTACTAACATGCTCCAAGAAAATGCGCTGATTATTGTTAATTATAAAATCTGTGTGTTAACATATTATATTGTTGCGTCAGCGAGGTCACGTGACAAGTATCACGCCACTCCTTCTCGAACCTTCATGAATTATCGGGAGACTACTAGATTGGGGGTAGGCTGGTATATATAAGACGCTCACAACGTGACGCAAGGAGGTAATGAGTAATTGAATGTATGCGGATAAAATATTGTTGGCCACTTGAGACGTGAGTTATAGCGTTGTTATAGAGCGACTGTTGAAATTAAGTGTATCGTAAAGTTGTATTTGGAAATAATAAACAAGTTTTATTTAAGAACAAGTTTTATTTATTGTGTCGCTAAAGTTTCGTCGGAACGAATTTACGGAAAATTAACTAACGAACAGAGACGTAACAATATGTTGTAAATTACGAATTAATTACACAGGCCTACAAATTTACAGTTCATAAAAGTTGTTTTGGTTTTAATAACGGATTTTCCATAATTCAGCTATGCAGATTTTGAAAATAATATTCAATTATTTCTATCACATAAGGTTTTTTTACAAATCGGGAAGATAAAAAACTCTTACTTAGAACAAATTATTATTTTGTTTACCACAATGAACATTTTTATTATTATGTTTGTCAACAAAAATATAAACAAACGAATATGTATCCTCATTCATCCTGATTTTTTTGTGTGAAATCTACATCTTTTAGTCTCAAAACTATGTGTTGTGGTTTTTCTTTTATGTATTGTGTTATGACGTTTTGTG